CTGGGTCAAAACAGCCCAATTGCTGGGTTTGTCCCTATTTTACCCAGCACGGGGTTGTATTTAACCCAGCATTTTTTAGAGTGTAGATGCATCCAAACTTTTGACTTCAAAACTAATTAACTGCAAATTAGCACATTTACCTGAGTCCTGCCATTACAATACATAAATATTGAAGGCAAATTATATATTTTTTTACACATGAGACAAAACAGACACCGTATGGGCTCAATGGTGCGAACCTGAAACCAAAACCCAGTGATATCATATTAAATGATATGCCAAATTGTAAATCATAAATACATGCACAAGCTCGTATGATGAAATTCACTGATGTTTTTTGTTCTTCCATCCAGATCCTCCGGTCACTATGTATGTGTATCCAGTGCTGGGAGTCGTTTTAACACTGTTGTTCATAACTGGCATCATTATGCTGCTAGTGACAAAGTGCAACTCAGAAATGAAGGAGAAAGTTCTCCCTATGTTCCAGTATTTTTCTGTAAGTTGCTGTTTGACCTGTTCTCACTATTTTTGTGTACCCTTTTCAGTAAAGTATTCTGACATAAATTTAACTGAATGCAACAATTTGTGTAAGAATGACATTTCAAACAATTTACACAAAATCAATTCCTTTTTTTACTACAATCAGCCTCCATCTGTGTATTTACATCACTGCTGCACAATCCGACTTAAGCAAGACACATTAAAATGATCATAATGTAGTTACGAAATGAATAGCATTACAGTGGCACAATAATTTTTAGTTTGCTCAAGCTTTCCAGTTTTGGACACGTCAATTAAACAAATCATGGCAGATACTATGAAAGCACTATAAAGTGCTAGTGAAGCAGTCAAAATAAAGATGTAATTGTGAATGTTTTCAATTTGTCTGATTGGTGTACTATCCATTTAATAACCCCCCCAAAAAAAACTATAAAAAAAAAAATAACCAGTCACCATCAGTGTTGTTATTTACTAAAACTATTAAAGGGGTGGTTCATTGCGATTTCACTTTTTTAACGTTAGTTAGTGTCTAATGTTGTTGTTGTTTGAGCATAAACAATATCTGCAAAGTTACAAAGCTGAAAGTTCAATGCAAACGGAGATATCGTCTTTTAAAATTCTGGCAGTGTAATGCCTACAAAAACGGCTGGTAGGGACTACAACAAGTTACTTCCCGGGTGCGTGACATCACAAACCCAGATAAACCCCGATAAAAAAGGCAGCAAAGGGGGCGAGGCCATGCTGGGCTGCTTTAGAGAAGAGGAAGAGAAAACTAGAGGTGCACGTAAAAATCTGTTCATATATGAATCGCGATTCTGTCTTCTAACGATTCTAATGGATTCACAAGTTTCAAAATCAATGTTCTAAAGCAGCAGTTCTTAATACTGTTCCTCGCGTCCCCCTGCTCTGCACACGCTCTGCATCTCTCTCTCTCTCGCTCTCTCTCATTCAGCTCAGCTCCAACAATGAACTGTTACAATTATGTGCTTATTTTCACATAGCTATGAGAAGCGTTAAAGGGGTCATATGATGCGATTTCAATTTTTCCTTTCTCTTTGGAGTGTTACAAGCTCTTGGTGCATAAAGAAGATCTGTAAAGTTGCAAACACTAAAGTCTCAAATCCAAAGAGATATTCTTTATAAAAGTTAAGACAACCACGCCTACCTAAAACGGCTCGTTCTAACACACCCCACATGTCTACGTCACGATGTGAGAAGATTTGCATAACGCCGCCCAAACGTTCACGCAAAGAAAGAACTTTAACATTTGCTTTTGGTCATTTAAGCTGAAATAAAATAAAATCTAAATATTTGCTAAAAATCTTAAACTTAGGTTGAACTAAAAATGTTGCCTTGGAAGCTCACTGAAATAAAAAAAAAACATAAAAGATGAGGTATTTTAATTACTAAAACTAAAACTGCAATAAAAATAAATTTAAACTAAATAACATAAAAAATATTAGATGAAAAGAATAAATTAGAAACAAAACAAACCGAAACAAAATACAAATTAATTGTAAGTAGTAAGTACTAAAACTGAAATAAATAATAAAGCTGAATAGAAATACAAAACCGATGATTGTGCACAAGTGGATTGTCTAATGTTGTTTGGTCCAGTGTTCTTCCAAATATCTTCTTTTGTGAAGAAAGTCATGTATTTTTGGGTAAACCACGCTGTGATTGGTCAGATCTGTCCTGATGTGTTTGGTGTGAGCGTGTTACCCAGCAGCATTCCTGCACTGGGATGGGTGACTGTAACCTGTCTCTTTCTGGTTTGGTAGGATTTCAGTAAAACACACGATGATGAGTGCAGAACTCTGAAAGTGGAGCCAGAGCCTATCAGCGTTGTGAAGATCGAACCGGCCGAGGACAATAAAGAACAAGCCCCGTTACTAAAGATGAGCGATGAGGAACGGCCCTCCGATACCAAAGATCTGGGAAGTGGTGACTCGGAAGTTAAAAGCCCCTACGGGCCTAATGACCTTGTTGAAAGTGAGCAGAGCAACCAGTCGGGTTTTTACGACTGTCCACATGCTCCCAGACAACAGGAGATGAGTCCCGGAGATATGGTAGAGAGTTACGCAGCCTCACTGCTTTCAGAGGTGCAGAAGTGAAGGAAAGTACCATAAAGACAGCAAAATCCCCGTACCTGTGGCCAGGATGTGTTTTGGGAACATGATGTGGGATGGGACTGATGGTACAAATACAAGCCCTCGCATGACATCATGAAATGGAATTCGCCCAGGTTTTCCGGTTTGTGGCACAATGGAAAAATGTGTTTGGTATTTGTCTTCCTCACGGCACTCCTTTTATTTGAACCGAAACTCCTCATACACTAATTCAGGTTTGTTTTTTTTAATTCTTATTATTTTGAGCATTTTTTTGTTCGTTACTACTTATATTTGACTACATACTATAGTATTATCTTCTATTCGGACAGAGTCTTATCCTGTGGCCTTAGAACAAAGTTTTACAATATCTTTTACAAGTGCTGCTCAGGTCATGTGAATCAATCCATTGGATTTATGCTGTGTTCTCGCACGCCTCATCGGATTTGGAAATGGATCCTTGCATGGCTTTGAGTTGAGTTGATTACAGAAAAACACTTTATTATTACAATAATTACCCTCTATATTTATTGTTATTTTTTGTAAATATTAGGGCTGGGCAAGTTAACGCGATATCGCATTAATTGATTAACGCAGACAATTATTTTATCGCGCATTAACGCAGTTTTTTTTATTATTATGATAGTCCGTTGCTCACTGGCTCTGAAGTTTACGATAGCACGTGAAGACAGCAGAGAAGCGCTCTCGCTCAGCAACAGTGGAGTGCATCGTTTTGTTAACTTTGTGGTTTATTATTTTAAGTCGTTTGGGACGCGGTAACACACGGCCCTCTCACAATATATTGCTTTACAGATGTATCACTCTTGCCGCTCAGAAATGTTTACGCAATCATGCTGCACGTATCATAACATATCATTCCGCGCTTATACTCACTGATCTATACATAACTGAACCGCGCTCTGGCCCAACTCCAGGGACGGCTAAACGAACGCACTAGTCAAACGAACCGGGCTTTGGGGGTCAAACGCGCTCGGGCACGGTTAAGATTGCCTAGTGTGAATAGTAGTACACCCTTATTCTCCCGCATCCCGCACACACGAGTCTCTACCCGCCCGCACCAGCCCATCAAGTGTTGTCCCGCGCCGCACTCAGCTGCGTTGGGTCCCGCGGACCTGTTATGGTCGAGGCTCTGGACTCTGAGCATAACTTGTTTTTCTGTAACAAACTATAACATATTTTCTATAAAAACGTTAATGCCATGGTAGTGGCAAATAACTTTGGTTTTATTTTTAATTTGATTACATTAATATTATAAGTTGAGATTTACAAGAAATATTTTAACTGCTACTATGTAAAAGGAATACTGCTGTAAAAAAAAAGCACCTTATCTGATTAAAGTGTTTGCAAACCATGTTATAAGTTGAGATTTACAAGAAATATTTTAACTGCTACTATGTAAAAGGAATACTGCTGTAAAAAAACACCTTATTTGTTTAGTGTTTGCAAACCAAATGTTATTGCACTTTTGTTCATATAGCAGTACTTTTAAATGAAAAAAGTGCACAATACACTACTTTTGAATGCATTATTGAATTGTGTGCACAACAATGCGATTAATCACGATTAATCGCAGACAACCATGCGATTAATCACGATTAAAAAATATTCGTTACCAGGTATCGTGAGCTATAATAAAATGTCACATCAAACATTAATGTACACTTCTGTTCAAAAAGTTTGTGGTCAGTATGATTCTTTTTAAAGAAATGAATACTTTTATTCAGCAAGGACGCATTAATCAAAAGTGACGGTAAAGACATTATAATGTTACTAAAATAAATGCTGTTCTTTTGAACTTTCTATTCATTAAAAATACAGTATCATGGTTTCTACAAAAATATGTTTTCAACATTGATAATCATAAATGTTTTTTTGAGTATCAAAAAAATATTAGGATGATTTCTGAAGGATCATGTGACACTGAAGACTGGAGTAATGATGCTGAAAATTCAGCTTTGATCACAGGAATACATTATGATAGTATATATTCACATAGAAAACAGTTCTTTTAAATTGCAATAATATTTTACATTTTTTACTTTATTTTTGATCAAATAAATGCAGCCTTGGTGAGCAGAAGATACTTTTTTTCAAAAACATGAAAAAAAAAAGGTCACTGATCCGAAACCTTTGAACAGTAGTGTGTTTAAGTTGCTACTAAACAACTTTTAGCTTTTAAAGACACTGTTGTTTTTGTATGATGACAAAGCTTTTATAAACCAGTTTTCAATTACAATTTCCAACGAAGATGTGAATGTTTTTGTCAACTCAGAGACTCATAATCGCTGTAATTCTGACACGATGTGAACACAGAGCACGTGGTCATGTAGCAGAGCTTCAAGCTGCTCACTCCGTGATGAAAACAGGAACTTTTGAGGTCAAAGTTGTTTATTGTTCAAATCCTGTGAATGGCATTTATGCACTTTGCATAACAATGATGGGAGAGGACAAGAGATAGTTTGCATTAAGTTCAATATTGTGCCACTGGTGAAAATGTTTTTTTTTTTTCATATTGTGTTTTTATTAAAAGCTGAACGGGATTCTATGGAAAAAATAATACTTGTGTGTTGTTGTTTTTTTAATATAACTGGTTGAAAACCTTTGAATATGATGAATGTTTACCTTTTTGTACAAAAAATGCTGCTGGGTCATTAAGAAATGAACTCACGTTCACCTTCAAACCTGTTTACCTTCAAACAGTCAAACTTAAATAGAACAGTTTCTATAGATTCCATTTGTTATGATGTTTCCATGGCAACACTATTCAAAAACGTCATTCAAGAACTCGCTGTATGAGTCAAACAAACATGGAAGTTCTGGTAAGGAAAATTATGTCATCATCACGCACTGCAACAGTGTAACCTGTGAAGTGACGTGTCTTCAGTGAGGTCCTGTAGTCTCCGCTGGTGTTGGAAACATTGCAGTGATGTCGACAGTCTCTGGAGCGTCTCTGCAGTCCTACGAGAGCTTCAGGCCCTGAACGTTTGCTCTTAAATTAACCATCTGCTTCTCCTGCATCTGTTTCTCCTGTTTGAATGCCAGTTTGTTTGTTTTCTTCTCCGACCTCCTCTCCTAAAACAACAATGAACAAATAAAGGGGTTTGCCGTGGTGCTTTTTAGGCAGATATACTGCCAAGTGGTTAATACCGAGCACACTTCCCCTTCTAATGTGGGATTTTTCCACTCATTTTATTATAAAATAAGCAAAAAATCCCAATTCTGACAACTTGGAAGTGCCAGCACACTTCTTCTCAACAAGCTAATAATGTCTGACAGGTCATAACAGGTTGTGATCACTGGTAATCACAACATTAACTGCGTTAGATTAATATTTAATATTATTTTCCGCATGACACATCAGACTAACAAAACGCTGCCAGGTGGATCTGGAGGTGCCGCCACTGTACGCACCTTCCTCTCCGTCTTGATGGCCTGTTTCCTGGCTCTCCTCTCCTCTGCGCTCTCTTCCCGTGAGCGGGGCTGCGTGGAGGCTCGGGGCAGGTCCGAGTCGTTGATCCTCTCCATCCTCTCCACCTGTTTGGCCGTCAGGCCTCGTTTCGGCAGGACGTCCAGAGGAATCCCTGTCTTATCGGACACTCGGATCTGCTTGGGCTGCAAACATATATACATTTATGCATCTGGCAGATGCATCAAACCAAAGATACTTGCATTGCATTCAAGATACACATGATAACAGTTCATGCTGGATTCGAACCCATGACCTTGGTGTTGCAAGCACCATGCTGTACTGTTTGCATTAAGTGCCACGCCTCTTGGTGTTTGTGTGTTTTTAAGCTCTAATAATGCTTATGTAACCCCATCCATCCCTATGAATAAACATCTCCTCTAATAACCTCTGAGATGTGTTTTGATCACGACATCGCATGCAAACTATTATAAAGAGCAAGTAAACAAAATACATCTGTGTGCTTTATTAGTCACATTTACTATGAATTAGCTCAATGAATCAATGTTTTAAAAACCTATTAACATGTCACTCATAAGGTAGGTATTACTTGTTAAGATTAACATAAAATCAACGTCAATTCACAACAAACTCACCATTTGTTTACTAATATATACAGTATATATATATATGACACAGAGACACAAACCACATCTGAAATTTGGTTCACATGCAAAAAGGATGTGGATTTGAATTGGAAATTTAACTCGCAGTGAATCTGATCTGTCCCTTTCCTTCTTTATCTGTATAATGAAATGACTGAACAGTTTATTATATGAAACATGTGACGTGAGGCAGGTTTCTTCACCTTTGGAGGGTCCTGGATCAGTTTGGGCCGGTTGTAGAGGTTGGAGTATGTACCTGAGAGAGAAAGATGAACATGATCATAATAAGAATAACCAGGATGGCCTCAAAACATTATTATTTTGCTTTTTTTTGCTATTTTTTTACTTGGTTTTCAAAACATACTACAGTCCTTTTAATGTGTAGAAATACATACAATAATGTGATATATATATATATACACACACACACACTGCCGCTCAAAAGTTTGGGATCAGGACGATTTTTAATGTTTTTTAAAGTCTAAAGTCTCTTCTGCTCATCAAGGCTGCATTTATTTGAGTATATTTACATTTTAAATAACTGTTTTCTATTTGAATATGTTTTGAACTGTAATTTATTCCTGTAATTAAAGCTGACTTTTCAGCATGGATTCAGACTCACTGATGATGGTCTCACAGTCCCAGTTCTCTGTAGGAGGCTCAATGACCATCGTCTCGATCTCCACCTCTTCATCCTCCTCGTCTTCCTCTCTCACAGAGGGCAGCTCTGCAGAACCCAGCTGATCTGGTCTCTGACACCTACACACACAAAAATGATGAGCTCTTCTGGAGGGATCTCTCTCACACACACACAAACAGATCTGTGACAGTCGCACACACTCACTCTTTCTCTTTCTGTATGAAGTAATCTTTGAAGACCTCCTCCAGTCGCTTGCTGTCCGGTTCGATGTAGCCCTCCAGCTCTGCGTTATCCAGTGCGCCGATCTCATCATCGTCAAACTGCTCGTAAAACTATTCGACAGCACAACAAACAGTCAATTACTGATGCTTCTCTATAGAAGTGTAAAATTAAAAATAAATCAGATTTATGGTTTTAGTGCTTCAATATTTTTTGCCTGTACAACTGAGAAATATATATACTTTAAAATAATATACAAAACATTATTTATTTTTTATGTATTTGAAGGAAGTCTCTTATGCTTGCCAAGGCTGCATTTATTTAATAAAATACAGCACTGTTATGTAATATTGTGAAATATTATTAGAACATAAAATAACTATTTTCTATTTGAATATATTGTAAAATGTAATTTATTCCTGTGATGTAAATAACAGTGTTCTATTTTAATACACTTTAAAATATAATCTATTTCAGTGATCAAAGCTGAATTTTCAGCATCATTACTGCAGTCTTCAGTGTTCTCTATAGAAGTGTAAAATTAAAAATAAATCAGATTTATGGTTTTAGTGCTTCAATATTTTTTGCCTGTACAACTGAGAAATATATATACTTTAAAATAATATACAAAACATTATTTATTTTTTATGTATTTGAAGGAAGTCTCTTATGCTTGCCAAGGCTGCATTTATTTAATAAAATACAGCACTGTTATGTAATATTGTGAAATATTATTAGAACATAAAATAACTATTTTCTATTTGAATATATTGTAAAATGTAATTTATTCCTGTGATGCAGAGCTGAATTTTCAGCATCATCACTCCAGTCTTCAGTGTAACATGATCCTTCAGAAATAATTTTTACATTAAAAATAAATTAGGTTCATGCTTTTAGTCCTTGCTAATTATGTTGACAATTTTTATACAGCTCAGTACAACTAAACAAATGTAAAAAATAAACAAATAGATACATATTGCATGACAGTACCTGTTTAATGCCAGACACAAACTATAAATAATAAAATTGCTAGATTTAACGGAAAATTAAACCCATCCTATTCTATTGTTTGGTGACTTTTTTCTAACTACACAGCAAAGAAAATGTGTATGGCTGTGGCACTTTAAAGTACTAAACTGTAAAGACACAACATTTCAGAGAGGTGAAAAGAAAAAAAAGATGCAGCTGTGATCTTGCTGTGTTCTGTGTATACTTGATTTAAAGACTGTGTAAAGAAAGAAATTTGAGCTCATTGTGAACAGGCCCTTATGTTCACCGTTATGTGTGTGTGGAAGATCTGCTGACTGACCTTCTCGAAGCGGTCGTCTAGAAGCGTGAGCTGCTCATTCCTCCTCATGACGGAGGATGTGAGCGAATACTCTGTGAAACGACTCTTCGTCTCACAGTCGGCAAACATGAACTCTCTCCGGCCGCCTTCCTCATCCTCTGACAGACCACCTTCTGAATCATAATCTTGCTCCTCATCAGTGTCCTCCCATTCATCATCATCATCACCACTGAGATCAAAAACAATACGGAAACTGGTGATGGCATCTGATGTGGGCGGGGTTATGCAGATTCAAGCATTCACCCCATTGGCTAACTCACTTAATTTACACGCAATTATCACCAAACTATCAGGCTCATTTATTCCTCATGCTAATGTTTTACCCCACGCCGTCGCCCATGATGTCATTGGCTTTGATGATGAAGTCATCTTCCAGCATGTTCTCTGGGTTGTCAAAATCAAAGTCCTCATCCAGCGCAGCGACAATGTCAGGATCCATATCCAACCGCGGCCCTGGAAAGCAAGACGCAAAACTACATTTGCATTTGACAGTTTCTTCAACTACAGGAATTTTCATCTTTTTTTATGAAAATATTTTTCTTTTGGTAATATCAAGGTGACATTCCCATTCATGTTTGGTTTTGCCACTTATCAATATATTGTAAAATGTAATTTATTCCTGTGATCAAAGCTGAATTTTCAGCATCATTACTCCAGTATCACATGATCCTTCAGAAATCATCATTATCGATGTTGATAACAGTTTGTGGAAGTGGTGATATTTTTTTTCATGATTCTTTGATGAATAGAAAGTTAAAAAAGACATTTTAAATGCCTTTCTGGACACTTTTAATTATTTATTACTTACTGACCCCAAACGTTTGAATGATATTGTATTAAAACAATAATAATCATATTAAAGGGGTCATATGATGCTTTTTAAAAGATCATTATTTTGTGTATTTGGTGTAACAGAATATGTTGACGTGCTTTAATGTTCAAAAAACACATTATTTTTCAAATACTGTACATTATTGTAGGTCCTCTATTAAAACGGAGTAGTCGTCCATCATAACCCATCCATATCTGAGACCTTATTTTGGATTTCTTCATGAATCGATCGACCAATGAATCAAGACAGCCAATGAGGTATGATCTGAAATAAAGTAAATGTTTGTTCTGCAGGTTTGTGAACGCAGACACATGAGCAGGACTGATTCTGATCTCACCTGAAACAGGAGCTGCTTTGTTTAATAAACCCACTTCCTCTTCAAACTCAGACGCGAACACAGATGAGGGCAGTTTGATGGAGGCCGTCTGCATGTATGACAAACATCAACATAAAACATCAGCATGTCATCAAAACACAAGCGGAACAATGCTCATATTCTGCAGGAGATGCAACCGGACCATAACGCTGTTTGTTGTCACCCTCACTCTAGCTGCACGCATATTTTTAGTAAAAATAACCGCAAAGCTATCTAATAACACATTTAACGTTTAAAATTGTTCTTGTCATGGAAAATGGACCAAAATAATGACGAAATCAGAGATGTGTACACATTTTTGTTCCCTAATAACACCTACTTTTGATTTGAAAGAGCAAGTAACAAAACCTGATTCACAGCTGTGATGTAAACTAAAAGCTGATGGCTATTAATAAGAACTTCCTCAATTTCATGCTTGCATTTGAAATGTGTCAACACAAAAGAATTAAGCCCTGTGCTAAAATCCTTTACCTAATTTGGTGTTTCCGGTTAGGCTTTTAAAAAATAGCTTATAAATCTCTTGTTATGCTATATTACCACCAAAGCTTGGATTCAATCTTTCGGTCAACTTGTTTTCTTTCATTTAGCACAGGTTTTGTATTTCGTTTTTAAATGGATTGATTGTAGGCCTCATTGATCTGCGCTTGTACACCTGCTTTTGAGTGAAAAAGCATTTTTTGTGTGGATCAGTTTAGCAAAACGGTGCATAAGGCACGTAAGCTCATATAAATGAGGCCTACGATCAATACATTCTTGAGTAATTTAAAGCCTGAACCCAATATTTGGTGATAATGTAGCCAAACAAGTCATTTCCAGGCAATTTTTTATAGGCCGGTCATTTTTGACCAGGACTGCCAGAAGTGTAATAAGGTGGGGAAGAAATCCCCCCAAAAAAGTGCAAAAATTATCTTTCAGTGCCATGTTCCACAGAAGAAGTCATACAGGTTTAGAATGACATGAGGGTGAGTATTTTCATTTCTGTGTGGACTATACTTTTAAAGGTGCAGTATACATTTTATAAATTATATCATTAGTGTCACATGTTTAGAATATATTGTCAGATATGGAGATCTAACGGCTGCATGGAGGAGCTGCTCCTGAATGGCCTTACAGGGACGTTGACGTCCTCTTCCTCCATGTCCTCTTCATCCTCTGCAGGTTTTGGTCGTGCGTCTCTGCGTAAGCGAGGAGCAGAGACCAGCTCTGTGGGCTGGGGCGCCTCTCTCAGGTGCTGCAGGTAATCGTAGTCGTCATCAAAAAACACTCCGAACTTGCGCTGTTCCTGTTTCCTCTTCTCCACCTCCACCTGCAGGAACAAACGGCAACTTTAGTGACACAGTCAGGGGGGTGATCTTTGAATGTCATGACTGCGTAACACTACAGAACCGGTTTGGTGTGTTTGTTTTACCTTGACAGCGGGTAGAAGGACATGCTGAGGTGCAGTCTCGTCTGCTGCCAGCGGATCTTTCTGACTTCTGTGCACCAGGTGGAAGGACACTGCGTTCTCCTTACTGATGAAGGCTTTCTTCTTTCTGTGAGGCTGGAGACAGACAGATCACAAATATAATTCAGCCAACACACATATCAGTCATATTCTGCTTTAGCAGGATCATTTGAGTCACTTTTGGGTTCATTTTATTTCATCTTTGTGTGTTTGGGCCAAATGTCTTGCAATAAACACAATCAATATTATAATAAGTCTGCTTGCAGTATTATTAAAACGTAACACAAATAGATTTGTGATCAAAACTGAAGCATAAACCTTAACTGAAACAAGTCTGTCTTAGAACATAGACACTGTTTTTCGTGTTTAAATGACAAAGTTATTTAATAACTAACAGTGTAACATGTGATTTACACACTTACTGGATTCACTAGCCTGACAGCTAAATATGTAAACAAAAGAAACGTTACTCACCATTCTTACAAGCTAATGTATTATCCGAGCGTTTGTATTTCAGGTATGAAGTGACTTTAATAGTATCAATGTTATGAAAAGCAAACAACGAGGAATCAAATCAAAGGAATCCTTCTGTCAGCTCGAAACACATGGACAACAGCGGCCATTTTTGAGACAATACCATCTGGATTGACTGAAGGAGGAACGATAGTCCTGCCTTAAAGACCTGTTATAAACAACAAGTTATCATTTATATATATATATAATGCTATTTATTTATCTGATTTAAAATTATATACTGAAGCTGGTGGATAAATGACAGTGCTAAGAGGCACGGCCGTTATAGTTCAAGAAACCCCCCCTGAATCGCTTTTGGTTTAGTCTAAACGAGGGACGTGACGTACTGATGATGACGTCGGACGCTACTCGACAAATTCTGCATTTCTGAGAAACGCATTAAATGGTTAACTTTTATATTCCAACACACATTACATTGGCTTTTTGCCTTTTAATTTAGTAATTTTTCCTATATGTTTGAGTGTTCTTATTGTTGCTGTTGTAGTGTCTGTTGTTTTGATTATTTAAATATTTTTGTAATATTTCTTATGGCTTTAGAATCTTTATTAAATCTTTGTTTGTTAGTTTCCATGTAAAATTGTACCCCTTTATATTTCTATGTACACTGATAGGAATCCCCTTGATTGGCATGTTTGCTGAAAATGTTTCATTTCATTAACCAGGAATACGTTGTCCATGCCATTTGTTTCGTTTTTTTTCTTCTTCTTCTTCTTTCTGGTGTTGATTCACTGACAGAATGCTTGGACCTTGTTTAATATTAACAAAATAATTTTTATTAAACATTTCAGTTATTGGATGCTCTATCACAGCTCCTCGATAACACTAGCCACAGTGAATCATTGTCATTTTTATTTATTTATTTATATTCCTGACTTTGTTCATTTCTGCATGCACCTTCCAAGATGAAAACCTAGCGGTCTAGCAGCTCTGTGAATAATACAACATCTTGCAATTATTACAAATTCTTGCAACATCCATAAAGGGTGAATATGCCTCAGAAAAACATGAAAAATAACCGTAAACGTGCCATCAAGAACACAACACTGGAGAATTTGTTCACAAAATAATCGTAGTAAAACTTTAAAAATAAACTACGGTAAATCAGTAGTCAGTAGCAATGGGAAAGACCCCACAAACAAACAAAAAAATGTGTGTAAAGAGCTGTTCAGCAAAACAGTGAAAATCCTCAGTGGCACAGCTGACTCCATCCATCACATTGTTCCTGCTGGATTTAGTTGAATCCTCAGATGTTCATGGACAACATCAGGAACTGTGAAGAAATGAAGATTTCTTTGTAACTTATAAAAAAGCAGTAACACTACTTACTAAAATATATATGAAAGCGGCTCAAAATGCATGAAACATGTATTTTGAAAGCAATATGTGCCTTAAAATGTTTCCAAACGTTGTTAAAGCAGCACTATGTAACTTTTGGCACTCTAGCGGTTAATAAACAGAACTGCACACATCCCGCGGAGGAACATTCCAACCGGAACTACTTTTCTAAGTTTATGTCTATGGCGATTCACGCAGGTATGTGTTCCTCCGCAGCGGTGACGACCCGACCAGGCTACAATAGTCCAAATATAAGTACTTATTATAAGTGTACCGTAGTGATTCGGAATAAGACAAAAACGCGGTTTGGAAGATGAATTCATGATGTACTCGCTCATTATATACATTTTGCAAATTTTGAACACAGAAAAAGTTACACAGTGCTGCTTTAAATAAGGAAACTACTAACTAAGAACTACCACAAGGATGTGAGTTTAAATTTTTGACAAATTGGGCAACTGTTGTAGTTCATGCATTGCAACTCTATTGCAAAAAATAAATAAATACTGTTATGCTTTTTCTTTTATATTTACTAATTTAAAAATAAATGAAGTTTTACCTGCATCATGTTCAGACTGATCACTCCTTGCTTTTGACTATTTAAGGCCTGGAAAACTCCTGTAACATATGTCAAAATCTAGATTTAAATGCCAAGTTTTATTTACACTCCACATGTTTTGGAACATACTGAATATTATTAATAAAACACATAAAAACACTGCAGGCCAACACAGAAAAATTCCAGCATTAGATATAGTAGAGATAAGTCTAAGACTATTAGTTAATGCATCATCATAACGTACGGAACATGTTCTCCAGACGCACGATGCACGTCAGGTAGTCATCAAAATCAATGTCAAAATTTTCATCTGCAAACCGCAGACCCAGCAACTGCAAAAGCTTATTGTTCAACTGCATGCCTGAATGAAGAAAACACAAACGAGGTCAGATAAAATACTGCTTTCTAAATGATTCTGTTTCAATTGCACTGTAATAGTTCATCATGGGACTGTCCCGTGTGTTTACCTGCAGCATTAAGAGCACTGCGGAGCTCGTAGGATGACATGCGTCCAGAACGATCCGTATCGTAAGACAGGAACAGCATCTACAGCAGCACACGACACAACTTTACTGTTTTCATTCCGAGAAATATGCTGATATTCTGGAAGATGGTAATCAATGACAAGCTAACAAGTAAATGTATGATTCTGTAACTTACGATCCATTTCTTCAGCTTATCCCAGAAGACTTTGAACTCCTCGAATTCCAGCATTCCGGTGTTATCCACCTGCACTCGGTTCAGGAAAACTCAGCAGCAATGGCTCAATATAATATTCACATATCAAAGAGAGTGTTAGATTCTGTAATCAAACTTGAGGCAGAAGTGGGTTAGTTTAGACTAATAACACATGCACAGCCATTGAGAGGATACATCCATCAGGTTGATGATGCTGTGGCAGGTATTGAGGGTCAACCCATCAAACTTCACCTCTTTCCCTGCAGAGAGACAGTTGCATGACATGTTGGTTTTTTATTGTATTACTGGTTTTGGATGGTTAAAATGCTTGAAAATGGTGACAGACTCACTTCTGCTCAGAACATTGTTCAGCACGTGCTGCAGTTCTCGGGCGCTGATGGCTTTATCCTACATAGAGACATGGGGAATAGTGTAAAACATACACTCTAAAAAATGCTGGGTTAAATATAACCCAGCGCTGGGTTACAAAGGGACAAACCCAGCTATTGGGTTGTTTTGACCCAGCGGTTGGGTTCAAAACAACCCAACCGCTGGGTCTAAACAACCCAACCGCTGGTTCAAAACAACCCAACCGCTGGGTCAAAACAACCCAACCGCTGGGTTCAAAACAACCCAACCGCTGGGTTCAAAACAACCCAACAGCTGGGTCAAAACA